CACACACACACACACACACACACACACACACACACACACACACACACACACACACACACACACACACAGATGAAGTTTGTTTACTTCCAAACAATAGTTGGGACCAGGTGTGCTAACTCCTCCCCTCTTCATCTTCCCCTCCCAGGATCAGCAGCAGGCCTTGTTCTACCGGCTGATGCAGCAGCAGGACCTCCAGCAGCTGCAGTCCCTCTCCTCCTCCTCCTCCTCCTCTTCCTCCGCCGCCGCCCAGATCCCCCCCCACCCGCTGTCCTCCACCCAGCTGCCCATCAACAACTTGCTGCCCGGCGCTCAGAACCAGGGCCAAGGCGCCATCACTGCCAACCCCTTCCTGGCGCTGCAGCACGCACACACCGACACGCACGGCTCGGGGCAGCAGAAGCCTCGGCTCGCTGAGAAAGCCGTGGGCGTCGCAGGGCAGGAGAAGACATGACGGTGCAGGCTCTGTCTMTCTTTTTTTAATATGCAGAGTTTTCAGATCAGCCAACTTTATAAAACATTATCTGGGGAGAAGTTTCTCTCTGGTAGACTACTCTTTCCAGCGGTGCGCTAAAACAAGAAAATATAAGACTATTGCAGATTGGTTTGTTACAATCTCTACCGCAAACTCTGTTTGGATTTGTTCTATTTATTTCAAACTAACTTATAGTTTTGGTCTTTTTTTAGTGCTGCTTCTGATTTGTAATAATCCCGATAGTAACCCTGTGTTGGTGTGTTTTTCCCRGTTAAGGTGGACTTTCACTGAGATTCCACCTTTATTACAATCATGTCAGGATGTTTTTGTTTTTAGTGTTTATGTTTTTATTTACTTTTTTTGTCTGGTTCTGCTCTCCATTGTTTCACTCTCAGGGGCCTCAGCTAACCGGAGCTGTTCATTTAAAACTCACAAAAAAAAAAAGAACTGCAGCAATACATGAAAGAACACAAAAAGTCCAGTTTCCAAGACTAGCACTGAACAGTAGCAGATGTATGTTTGACATCTGTCCCAAAGGACGTCTCTTTCAGCGTCTGCAGGCTGGAGCATGTCAGTGAGCCACGTCTTTACGGTCACCACACAAGCCTTTTTTTTAAGACTTTCTCTGGGCCACACACACGAGGCTCGGTCAGGGGAGTAGTGAAGGTGACTGGGTTTGAGGTTTAAAAAAAAAGAYGTGCGGTCGGTCGCGCCGCACCGTTCGCCTCCCGGATCGAGCCTCCCGATGCACCTACCTCTGGAGCAGGACCAGCCTACCAGGACCTAAACGGGCCCACCGCCGCAGCGGCCACTTATAAACCCTCTGCAGTCAGGACCAGCCAATCAGGGTCCAAAACCCCAAGTGCCTGAGGCCGAATAAGGGGGGGGAGGGGGGCGGGATTTTGTTTCAATTATATTTTTTACRACACTTGTGGTGACGAAGCTGCGGAGAAACGTTGGGCTCTTTTACACAACTACTTTCTGTAACGTAAAAGACTTCACGCCGTGGTTTTTATTTATCTGTGAGCTTCAGATCTATTTTAAAAATCTGCTTCATTTTGTACTACTGTGGACARCTTTGTTTTTGTTTGTTTTTGTTTCTTTTTAGTCTCGTTTTTGCTGTAAACTCTTTCTAATGACGTGTCGTGTTCAGAAGCGAGGAGCTATTTAACAGTTGGCTGATTGACGGGGCGGGGGTGTATATAACTGTTTGTAAGGTGGGGGGGGCAGTGTTCAGTGGCACAGTTTTTACCTCGTTAAGTGTACATAAACATTTCTCATTGGCCGTTGGTGTACATAAGTGATCGTGATTGGCCGTGCTGGTGTGGAGAAAAAGGAAAAAAAAATAGCCAACTCAGCCTCAGTTTGTGTGAAAATCTTTCGGACCAGATAAATAAGACTGGACACAGAAAAGTATTAATTTATTTTTATATGTGCAGGGATGTTTCTTTTTCCTTTTTTTTTTTTAAGTTTTGCACCAGTTTCTTGATTTTATAACCTGGGCACCATGTTCTTATTTGTGCACACGTTTGTTTTGTACAAGTGGTAAGAAAAAAATGTCTGGGTGGGGTGGGGGGCAGGGAATCTAACGATGTATTTAAAGAGAAACAAAAAATAAACACTCTGGATTAAAAAATTATCTTTATTGTGTTTGTCGTTTAAAAAAAACACTTCGGATTATATAAATATGAACGTTAACAGATTTCTTGAAAAGTGTGGATTGGATTTCTTAAGATACATTTTAAGTATTTTTCAGCACATTTCTCACACTGTAAGGACCAATAACTTCTGGAATGTTTTTTACTTGTAATAAAGGAAATAAATCTGAATATAAACATGTAATAAAACAAGCAATACAGTCAGTTTACAGATGTTTTAATAAAAAAAGGCAAAAAAAATCCATAGAAAATCTAAAAATTGTTAATCTGGAAGAGTTAAAAGCTTTTTATAATCCATCCATCCACTATCTGTACCCGCTTCATCCTTTCAGGGTCACGGGGGGTCACTGGTGCCAGTATCCAGCAGTCACGGTGCGAGGGGCTTTTTATTATGTAAAAGAAAAATGATACTGTATACAAACTCATCTTTTATAATTTAATAACAAGCCTAAATACTGAATAAATGTTTCAGTAACTCTGTGTGAAGGGAGAGAAAATATAAGCTGAATAAAATTTAAATTTGGAAAATTAACTGTTTTACTGTTCTTGTTTTTTCTTTTAAGTAAAGTTAATCTTAACATATTAACTAATTTAATTTTTTTATTTCTTAGCAGCATAAACATGATTTACTGTTTTTCATGAACGTACAGATGCAGATAGTTTTATTTTTTTAATTTGACAAATTTGCTCACATTGATTCACGCAGTTTGAGACACATTAGAGCACATTTTCATTTCAGTTACAAAAAAACCCTCAAATGTACATAAATAACTGCTGCTGAAATAATTGAGCTATAATGGGAAAAAATGTTAATTTTTTTGATTCTGTGATGTTAGGGTGAGTAAATAAAAGAAAATGGTAATAATAAATATATTTTTGTTTCTTATTTTATATTTTGAAAAGTCTTAAATGACAAAGTCTGAAGTCAAGTCGCAGAATTGATTTAAATTGGCAAAAAAAAAAGGAAAAACAAATTGAGTAAAATTAAATAAAGGCTTAAATATTTCTGACCTTATAAACACCAAATGACTTCCAGCTGCCAACAAAACCCCACCTGTGTGTGTGTGTGTGTGTGTGTGTGTGTGTGTGTGT